TATGCCTTTTAAGTCTCTTTTAATCTATAAGCTACCTCTCCATCTCTCTTTTTTCTTTTTATTGCAATTTAATTGTTGGAGAAACTGGATTTGTTGTCTTGTAGGTTTTCCAAAGTCTAGATTTTATGATTTCATTCCCTGCAGTGTTCTTTACCATGTTCCATGGAGTTTATCCTTTCAACTCCTGGGATTTTATGGTGTTATTCAACTATTTGACATAATTTCTAATATTTCTTTAGGATCTCATGTCTTATATGATCTTTGTATGATCTCAAATCTCTCAGCCTCTTTTTATAAGAAATTAGAAAAAAATAATCTAATAATTTATCTGAGACTTCGTATAGATGTGTTTAACTTAGTTTAATCCAGTTGTTTGTGGCTTTGTAATTAGAAAGCCTGTTAAATGGTAGTCTCCCTGAGGCACCAGGTGCTTGGACTTACTAGTGAACATGAAATATACTTTTTGCAAGAAAGCCCCTTGGGAAATTGCCAGAGACCCCTGTACTGTGATAAAATCAAATATTATATTAAAATGAGAATAACTTATTTTCACATTTCTGACCCTAAATAAACCGATAAATGAGAACCTAGGCTTAATAAAGGTGGAATCAGAGCCTCATATATGTGTACATATAAAATTTATATTATATATAAGGCATATAATTATATTAGACATATAAAATTTCACAACCTTTCTAGCATGCTAATGTCTGAAATTGTGTATGGGAGAACATCATTTTGTCTTAAGAGTTGCAGCTGTTTCATGCTTCTATAACTTTTGGTTATTTTTGTGCAGCAACTGTCATTGATAGAGTCCATTCTTGGCCTTGCCTAATCATTTTTCTTGGGTGACAGTGTTGTTCGTAAGCTTTATTATTTTAATGAATCAAGAATTTTCTCCCTATTCGTTTTTTGCCAAAAATAAACTTGGAAGGATTAGAACCTTCAGGGTGAAATGTCAAACTGGAAATTTCCTTTTATCATGTTTTCTGCTCATTTCCCCCCTGGTTTTAGGAGCTGGGAATCCCAAGTGCAAAATTGCAATTGTTTTGGGAAGAACTAAAACAACTTCTGTATCCAGGTAATAAAACAATTTTGATTGAGAACTCTATGTAGGAATAAGAGTCAATCTTTCTCTCTACCCACTTAATTTACTTAAAATGTACCGTTTGGGCTCACAAATCATAGTGTAAAATTTTTATTATCAGATTAAATGTCATGTATTTGTATTTCACAAGTATTTTGCTAAAAGATATATTTGGAAAACATTTTAGGGAGTGTTGCTGTACATTCTTCACTGTGGAATTTCTGGCATTAGCAAGTGTTGTGGAATCACGGAGCTGTTCCAATCAGATAATTTAACATAAAATTCTTCAGAACTGCCTGTAATAATGAAGTGATTAGGTGTTTAGATTGAAGGCAATAGTCTTGAAATGTTTAATTTTGTATACCAGTTCCCAGTTACCATTTTGAGCAATGTGAACAATCAAACAACTTCCACTTATTTACAAATCATTGTTTTGGTTCCAGATCACAGCCTGCATCAGACTGTGCTTGGTATATGTCTTTTACACAGTTCCCATTCCAGCCATCATTGCTTACATGATTATGTGACAACAGCAACAACAAAGAGGCAATTGCAACTCTACCTAACATTTGTTTTATTTTTCCTCTTAGCAAACTTTTCCTAACAGTGTTTTTCTTTTGACTAGACACAAACAACACAGCATGATTCTTGTTCCTATGAACACACCTGGAGTACAAGTAATAAGGCCTTTGTCAGTTTTTGGCTACATGGGTAAGTACCCAATAAACATATCCATGCATTAGCAAGCAGGAAGCCTAGAATATGCAGTAACATTGAAGGGAATAGATAGCATTTTAATGGATGAGATGTAAAATGCCGGTGGAGTTGACAATGGAGAAAATAAAAAGAGGTAGGGCAGCATTCTACTTCATTTTGTTCACTTTTTGGGAAACGGCAGATTGTATTCAAGGAATTGCAACTCTAACCACCAGTCTTCTCTCTGTCATTCATGAGAATGGATCAATGAAATAGACATAGATAAATTAAATCTAGGTAATCCACCATAAAATTCATTTTTGTCTCCAAGTTTAGCTTTCTTAATTAATCAGCCTACAGGATCAATATGCAATGAGTTTTGATTTATTTGAGTTTAAAACTTTTCCTTCCTTCTGCCCATGGGTGGAATTTCTAAGAAGCAAGGAAACTTTTGTTTCCTGCCACCCACTCTGTGCACATGTCCATTGTATCTGTGCTACTCAGGTCCTCCACTCAGCAAGTATTTATTGAGTGTCAAGTACTGTCCTAGGTGTTTGGAATGCATTAGTGAACACAACAAACTAAGATCCTTGCCCTCATGGAGCTTACATGCTGGTGAAGGGAGGCAGTCAATAACTACAAATATGTAAATAAGTAAAATAGCATGTTAGCAAATGATAAATGCTATGAGAAAGTTGATTGGATTTCAGGTTCTGTGGTGACACTGGCTTTCTCTCTGTTGTTGAATATGACTAATGATACATTCAAGTAGCAGATATAAGACTTGCAGTTTTATAGAACATTTGACATCCTCACCTCCTATAGGATGCAGCTATAGGAACGTACCCACAGTTTAAGTGTAGGTTGTTGAGTTGTAGAGCAATGGCCTGAAAGACACTAAAAATGGGTTTATAATACAGGTTAGCTACAAGTACCCACCACTGCAGAGCTTACGTTTGAATTTTCAGTGTAACAAACTCACCAACATCTCTCCAACTCATTATGTCCAAGGCCAAAGGAAACAGTGTCGAGAAGGTTATCATTAATGTCTGTTCTGCAGGAAGAGCATGTGGAATTAGCATGAGCTTATCTCTAGAACTCAGCAGGGAGGAGGGTTGATGCAAAGACACAAGCGTGAATATGTTCCTAGTATCAGTGGTTCAGATGCCAGCATTTTCAAGAAGCAAACATATCGTGGAACAAGTGTAGACTGGGAGTAAACATACCTGAAGGTCCAGGCTCTGCTTCGTCACTAATGCTGAACCGGCTTTGTCTCTTCAAGTAGGCCCTTTGCATTTTCAGGCATTTGTTTCTACAAAGATAAAATAAGAAATATGAATTACATTACTCACTTTCAGTTGTTGAAACATTGAACCTTTTTTCTCCACATGAAATTTTCTTTGTAGTTTTTTTTTTTTTTTTTTTTTTTT